TGATGACTCAGTATCAACAACAAGATAACCATTTGCAACAGCATTCTCCCTTTCGACGGATCCATCTTGCATTGGATTAACAACAGTTGTTTCGTGTCAGCCTCTATGCTACTAACCTGAGTGGGTTGTGCTATGAGTGTTAACAAGAAGAGTAATTGAGAAGGTTTATTCGTGGTTAAATCCCTCAACCTGTAAAAGAAACAGGGAGGAGTCAGTGAGGAATGGTTCTTCTAATGCTGACTCATCCAATTATTCAATTGGGCATCCAGATCAATCCTGTTACGTGGATTAATAGGCTTCCAATGTGAGGACTTCTTCAACTCACTTGGGATAAGTCTTTCAACAAAAATTCAGATTAATAATTGTATCAACACTTAAGGACCAGAATTGTTTAACCAGGGGGATAATTCTTTATGCAATAGAGATAAGTAGAAATGCCTTAATCTGAGTAAAGTAAATCTATTTAGTTCTAAGGTAGTGGAGTTGTAGGGTTATTGGGGGTTTAAGTCACTAAAAATCATGGTAAAAGTGTTGGTTTGATGCTGCTAGAATTTCCTGGGGAAAAGGTAGGAATCAGGGCTCTTTAAATATTCTACAGGGGGCTCAGGGGAAGAGGAGAGGCGCTCAGGGCACTAAGGAGCTTCTTAGCAGCTCTACAATTTCGTGTAAGGATGGGAGCTGCAGCTGTGCAGTGCTATGCATGGGTGGGAAGGTCCTAGGACAGGAGATCATACATGCATAATTGAGTTTTGTGGCCTATTTCTTCCATTAATTGAAAAGGCCTACAGTTCCTTGCCAGGGGCTGGTGCAATTGTAGAGTTAGTTGCATATGTGTAACTCTGCTTATGCAAGCTTGTGATCATGAGAAATGCATGTCCATCATGCATAATTCAGTCTTGCATGTAGAATTTGGGCTCCTTTCCCGTGTAGGCTGCTTTGAATTATGCAGGCTTTGAATTAGAGCACAAAAGGGTCCTGATGACGCTATCCAAGAGGGATATGATGCAATCTGATGCCCTGATGATGTGATCAAGGATGGGTAAGCTTCAGATAAATGTATATAGCTTATTCCTCATCCATTTCACGCTTCTACTAGCTGATTCTTTATACATATGTAATTATTTATGGCTTATAAAATATGTACATAATGTGTAAGAATAAACATTGTTTTAATACTTTATTCTAATGATATTTCTGTGAAATCCTAGTGATATTATATGTACAATACTCAAGGGGATTTCACAGTTGATTATAGAATTATTAAATATAAATTATGAATTAAGATTAAATGTAAATACATATTTATTTATTTATTATTTTAACAACAATTTATGATATTTTCCAGTATTCAATTTGATATTATTATTGCAGTTACTAGGTACATTTCACGTATTGTGAAAGGTGCTCTGTGGCTGACATTTCGCCTGGGGTCTTTTTGGTTTGTTTGGAGTGAGGTAAGCCACAATTATTAGATGGAGAGTAGTTAAAATTAAGATAAGAATATACCTGATCAACCATAGTATTTTGAGGAGCCTCCTCAATCGCCCTTCCTTTCTCATCCTTCTCTTTCTTCTTCAAAATAGACCTGGAATGACTTTTAAATGAGGTAGCTGACCATGCCTTTCCTTTCTTCTCTTCCTTTGTTTCCATGTCTTGAAAAGTTTCTTGATCGCATCCAAACTCGGTACATTGGCATATTTTCCACCAAGTGCTCATTTTGTGAGGAACGATAATTGTAAGTCTGATAAAGATCGTTTAAGTTTTTGATATCCACCCCTGTTTATCTGGAGGGCCAAACCACATCTATAAATATTGATTTGCATGGCAAAACCTTTGACCAACCGCATGATACTGCAGTGACCTTGCATTGCAGCTCCTCTTTTCTCTTGAATTATCTGTACTGCTAAGCACGCCGTGCTTAGCGTAACACCGATGCCATGACACAGACATGTCAGATGGTTATCTTTGATCACTAAGCTCGGCGTGCTTAAATCCACAGAATAGGACATATTGCTTACTAAACCTTGCATATAATTATAACTCAAAATAAGCTTACATATCTAATACCTGGTCACTTTTGTTGTAGGGAGTGTGCAAACTCCACATTTGGAGCTTCAGGGGTAGAAGAGGAGGACACGGAGGAGCAATGACACAACCAAGGATTCTGACTACAACAGATTAAGAGTCCACCGCTCTACCAGACAGCCGGTTTCTTTTCTTCCCTCTGCATTTTATGGTTCATACTCGACGTTCGACAAAAGACAAGCTCTTCGGCCCATTGCCTCCTCCGACACGGACTCGTAAACCAGTATCTTTACTTGAACGACGGCGCAAACTTGAATTCCGAAAACTTTCGAAACTCCCACCGCTTCCACTATCACCTCCACCGACTCCGCCCATCGACACCCTCATTGACAATCTCGGCAATCTTAACATCTCCGAACCAGGAAGCTCCGAACCCACATCGGCTCAGAATCCACAGATCGGTGGAATAGACGATCAACTTCCCTCCCCATCCGCCCCTCCGACATCGTCCAATACCAATCAACCCAACAACAGACCCCCATCTCCATTTATTTCTCCAATCTCCTACATATTTTCCCAATTTCTTACTCGCCAACCAACCCCTGTGTACCAACCTATCCCCATGTCGACCACCGCTGCACCTGAAGTCACCCCAAAGACCAAGTTCCTACAGCAACCAAGCATCTACAAACATGATGTTGAACAACTATCGGCGGATGGTTTGAACTTCGATAAATGGAAACGGGGACTCACCCGCGTTATACTTCTCACTCTGGGGCATGCAAATTTTTTCGACAAAGCCGAGAACTACGCGAAACTCACGGCCCAAGAAAACACCTGCCTCCTCTTTCTCATTCAAATCACGATCCACGACGAGTTGGCCTCTCTGGTTGATCAATACACCAAGGGCACAGAGGCTTACGACGCTGTCCAAACCAACTTCCAGGGAACGGTCAGATTTAGACAGATGGAACTTATTGATAAGTTACTTGAACTCCGCATATCGGGCCCAACGACCGAGCCGTCGCAAGTACCGGGTTTATTTAATAAGGTATTCGAGATCTTTACAGGCCTACATAAAGTGGGAGCTGGCCTTCCCACGGTCGTTGAAAGCCTTATCCTCCAAGCCATATCTCCAACCCCCGCATCCATGTCCAGATCTCAACTCTTCCAGAACATTTCCCTTCAACTCGGTTCCAAGAAGGACGTCTCCGCTCGTGATATCCAAACCATCATCACTTCGGCTTACGGCGAAAGCCTCCGATTTGACTCAAACCAACCTACTTCGGTCTCAGTCTTCCGTACTTGGAATCAACCCGCTTCCTCGCCAAACAACACGTGGACGAGCCGCAATCCAGGCCAACAACGCAATGCGAATGTGACCTCTCAATCGTCATCCTACTCCCAGAACGCTCCTCGCCAATCCAACAATGGCAATCATGCCAGACCTCACCAACAAAACATTGGTCGCCCTGGTCTGTCAGCCTCTGGGTAACTAACCTGAGTATTTAATAGTAAAAAGGTTGTTACTATGAGTTGACTGAAGTTTTTTGAGCGTGGTGAGTGTTAGGTAGTGGGTGATTAATACCAGTCCTGTAAAGAGGAGGTTTCACTCTATCAGTATGGTCTTTACTGAGAGGCTTGCTATCAACAGCGCATCCGGATCAATACAAGGTATTAATAGGCATCCAGGGTACTAAGACTCACCTGGGATTAATTTGGTTATTCCCCAAAGGGAATGGGCTAACAATACTTATTAAGCTTTAACAAAATTAGTTGAAGATTAACAGGTATTGTTGATGGGAATATTCAGCAAGGCTATGAATACTGTGGATAAGTTGAGTAAGAGTACTGAAGCTTAAGAACAATAAATGTAGACAAGATTTATGTTGGTTACGGGTACTGTATCAATATAAATGTTAACTGGTTTAACTGGTGTCTGAATATTCTGGGGATTAATCAGTGGAAGTGGCACGGATTATAAGTTCCAGAATACTGAAGGGGGGAAAGAATGAGCGCTCAGAATCAAGGGAGCTTTGGCCAGGAGAATGAGCACATCAATTGAGTGACTGATCATTATTTGTCATGATCTGTAAGTGACATCATAATTGTGTACTAGTTGATCAATGTACTAGTTGCTCTTGATGTGTACTTAACAGATCCTCTAATAATGTAGTCATAATTGTGATCTGTGCATGTATTGAATGTATTAATTCTATTGACACTTAATACTTACTATTTAATACATGTACATATTTATTTGTAATAATATTTGACCGTGAAATTACTGTAGCAGAGGGATAACTTGTGGTACAGGTATTTCACGGACAAGGGAGTGAAAGGTAAGTGATAATTACTTATGTAGAACACAGGTATGTATTTAAATAGATAAGTAATTAACAGATAAGATAAATGTAAGATAAATAGGATAAGATAAGTTAATGATAATAATAAGATAACAAGAGGTAAAGGTAATCAACATTATGGATAAGTACTTATGTACATAAGTACAGGTGTTGCAGTTACTTGGTACATGAAAGGTACTGTGACATGTACTCTGTAGCTGACATGGTCACCCAACTATCGACGACATTGCGGCCGCCATCAACAATATCCGAAAGGGTAACAGAGGACCGTCCGATCCCAACCTCCTTGCCAACAACCCGTGCTCTTACTGCAGCGCACATGGGCACTGGCGTTCCACTTGTCCCATCCTCCGACGGGATGCAAACCTACCTGCTCCCGACAACGCGAGTCGCCCCGCTTCCAGTTTCGCCCGCCGAGCTGCACCCCCGAACGACCCACCCACCAGCTCCGAACAGGTCCCGATTGTCCGGTCAGCGATGGGCGCGGATGCGACGGGTGCAGCTGGTGAAGGCACTGTTTTGGATTCTGGGGCGACCCACCACGTGAGCGGCTCTTTCCACTTATTCTCCAACCTCTCTCCCATCCTTCCTCCACTCAAACTGAACCTAGCCTCTTCCGATGGCTCTATGCTGGCAACCCACAGTGGACACCTCAAGATAACCAATGGGGATGGTACCCTAACGATCCCGAGGGTGCTGTACAGCCCGGAAATGACGGGAACTCTTCTTAGTCTTGGACAACTAGTCGACTCCGGCTTCCAACCTCACTTTCTTCCAAACCATGTCATCTTATTAGTTTCTCCTTTTGCTTCCGTTACGGCTCAATATCATAATCATTCCTGGCTCATATTCCCCACGTCTTTCCAATTCTACTCACCTGCCGCCAAATCGGTCACAACAACCCTCCCAACATCTTACGACTGGCACTGTCGCCTTGGACATGTATCTGACGACATCGTTAAGGATTTTCTGAAACGTTTTATACCAAGCTTCGATCTCAAATCCTGGACACCATTCATATGTGAATCATGCAAAAAATCAAAAAGCGAACGACGCCGACACTCCCTACCTGAGGTCATAACGAAGGATAACATGCTTGATTTACTCGTCACCGATGTATTAGGTCCTTTGGACCATGATGTCCACGGCAACCGTTTCCTCCTTACCGTCCGCGACCATGCAACCACCTATTCCTTTGTGTTCCCCATGAAATCTCGGTCAGAAGTTCCGACTATCCTCATCAATCTCGTCAAGAAAATCACATCCTGCTTCAAAAAATCCCCCAAGTTCATTCGCTGCGACAACGCAAAAGAATATACTGTTAAACCCCTACAAGACTATCTTGCCTCGGTTGGCTGCCAACTCATCTTCACCTCTCCATACACTCCGGAACAAAACGGAGAGGCAGAACGACTCAACCGAACTCTCGGCGACATCGCTCGCACAACTCTCAACCATTCCCTTCTCCCATCGAAACTCTGGTCTTATGCATACCGATGTGCCTGCTTCCTGATCAACCGCTTATCCAACCGGCGCTGCAAATCGACCCCACTAGAGCTATGGTCTAACCGAACGCCCAAAGGCGATTCTTTCTACCCTTTTGGTGCGAGGGCCTGTGTCCATGTCCCCAAAGAACGCCGCCGCAAAATGAACAAACGAGGCTGGACGGGTTATCTCGTGGGCTACCAAGATGATGAGCGGAGCTGGTTCTTCTGGAATCCAGAGACCCAAAAGGTCATCAATTCTGAGTGTGCCGAATTTTTAGATTTCCAGGGAAAACCCCTTGTTCCTTCACCTGATTCTTTTGCTAACACAGCCATTGTTCTTAGAGTACTCCACCTCGGCCAGGAGAAAACCAAGGAAGTATGCGAAGAACAAGACTCCATCATTGACAATCTTCAAGCCATATCTGATGCCGACATCCCAACCAGTTTGAAACATGCACTTCGATCCCGGGAATCCCATACCTGGAAGGCGGCTTGTCTGGCCGAATGGGATCAACTTGTACAAATCGACACATTCGACATTGAAGACAAACTCGACAAACACTCAATTGGAACCCGTTTTGTTTTTGACATTAAGCGGAAATCAGATGGATCAGTGGAAAAGTTCAAGGCACGCTTCGTAGTCCGCGGTTTCAAACAACGTCTGGGGATCGATGTTCGATCAACCTTTGCACCGACGGCTTCTCTCACAACCCTGCGAATGTTATTGACTCTCACAATCAAAAACAAATGGGAAATCAATTCCTTCGACATCACTGGAGCCTTTGTCCATAGCCCTATAGAGGAAACCATCTACGTAGATCCCCCGACAGATCTCTTTCCCCACCTAAATGGAAAAGTACTTCGACTGAAAAAAGCCCTGTACGGGACTCAACAAGCCAGCCGTTGCTGGTGGAAACACTTCAAGAACCTGTTACACGGCTGGGGTTTTGAATGTGATGAAGTTGAAGAATGCCTATACAGATACCGGAAGGACAACGACATAATCATTGTATGGATACACGTCGAAGATGGTATTGTGTTTAGTAACAGTAAGATGAACATGGAACGCCTCCGACTCAACATGGAACAGGAACTCCGTGTCAAATGGGACTCTCGGCCTGACAAATTAGTGGGCCTAAAAATTGAATACGAACAAGATTCCATCTTTCTCAGTCAACACCTTCTCATCGACCAAACCGTGGAAAAATTCACCTCTCAAATCCAAAAACACATTGTCCCGACGTATACTCCACTACAGGGTGACAACTTGGTTACATCTTGGGGCGACCCAGTAGAACCAACTCTCTACCAGTCTTTTATCGGATCAATCAACTACCTGGTGCTTGGTACACGGCCAGACCTTAGCCATGCTGTCAACTATCTAGCCCGGTTCAGCGCTAATCCAAACGAAACACACTGGGCGGCGCTGAAACATCTTATCCAATACATTGCCACCACACGCGACAAACGCCACCATCTCCAAGAGTCCGACAATCAACTGACAACCTGGACAGATGCAAACTGGGGAGGTGAATTCCAACGTTCGACTTCGGGGTTCATCATCCATTTCCTAGGGAGTCCAATTGCTTGGGGTTCACGTCGACAAAAAGTAGTAGCAACGTCCACATGCGCGGCCGAATTTATCGCATTGGGCTCGTCCGTTGATTTTCTACTTTTCTTAATTCCCATTCTGAAATCATTAGACAGTCTTCCTCCCATAACCCTGAAATGCGACAATCGAGCCGCAGTCTTGGTGTCGGACGACAATGCTTCGAAAGGAAGGATGAAGAGCTTAGAGCGCAACTTCTTCTTTGTGAATGATGCGGTGCGGGAACACGACATCAAGCTGGAATGGGTATCAACCAACAACAACCTAGCTGATTTCTTCACAAAGACCCTACGCGCCAACCTCCATTCTATCTCTATGAACAAAATATTTCAATAAAAAAAAAAAAAAAAAAACCTTCCACCATTTTTTCATACTTCTTCTCATCTTATAATTTTTTTTCCTCTTCTTTTCTCGTTCTCATGTCATTTTCATTCAGTTTATTATTTTTTTTCAATTCATTCTAAAACTCTCATAACAATTATCTGCCTTCTGCCATAATGGCAATATTTTTGTTCTTGTTATCATGTTTGCTTCTGACTCTCAGTTTTCATCATTGCTCTTTGTTTCTGTTGACCTCATTTTCAGTTTTCTTGTAGTTGTGTGGAGTTTGAGGGGGGGTGTTGTAGGGAGTGTGCAAACTCCACATTTGGAGCTTCAGGGGTAGAAGAGGAGGACACGGAGGAGCAATGACACAACCAAGGATTCTGACTACAACAACTTTAGCAATACATTGCCTTGCGCGCATGACTCTCATTGTACCAGGAATACAAATATGTGATTATTCAAGCTAATGGGTTAAATAAGAGAGACTGAACAGAGGAAATATACCGATTCCTCTGCTAATTTCCTGTGAAAACTCATCTGTTATTTTCCCTTTACTCAAGAATGAACACTAACTTGAACTTTTTGATCTTGGATAATCAGAAAAATTCACCTTTTTACAAATTCTGCATACCCCTCACTCACCCCTCTCAGTATGGTGAAAACCTTGAAGAATGGAAAAGCTCCCTCCAATGTACAAATACTAAATAAGACTCTCTCCAGTATCATACCCCCATCCACCTCTCATTTTTCCAGATGCCTTGCTTCCTTCTGCCGTCTTGTGTTACATATTGAGAAGCTAGAGGAACAAAACTGGCAAACTTCACCTTCAGAAGAACAAATTCAACTCGCCAAAAACCTCCCACTCACAATTACAAGTCATCCTATTCAATCCAGAATCAAGCTGTCCCCAGCCAAACCTCATGTTTTACATGGTATCTCACTCGACTGTCAGGATTTGTTTCTTGCAGATTTAAAAGCATCGAACTTTCCTAAACCGACTTTTGCGTGGAATCAACCTTGGGAATCCCACTGGAATCAAATTTTCTCCAACTTTGTCCTCAAGCACTGGAATCATTGCTACAAATACGGTGCCTTTTCAAACTTCCCAATGAATTCATCCCACAAAACGTCTAGGAATGCTACTGCTGTCCTGAAAAGGTGGTTTGAAGGTAAAAGAAATGACATTCGACAAAACAAATACTCCGTAGATTCGGTAAAGAAGAAAGCTATGCAGGTGAAAAAGTCAAAATGGCGGAAGCAGGTCAGTTGGACAGTTATTTTGTGACTCTTCACATGTTTTTGGAACTGAATCATCAGAAATTCATCCAGCTCTCTCACAACCGCACCGAAGTCCTCACTTTATTGGGCCTTCCAGACGAACAGAGGGACCTCTTCAGTGAACCAACATGCTGCTCAGACACAGAGCAAACTCCCGATGCAAACTTCCATAGAGTGCAGTGCCCTTGGCAATCAACTTTATTCACCGAGCTAGGTTATCAAATTGACAAGTTCTCCGAGAAAAATAAGGCCAAACAACTGGGTAAAAAATACTACACCCATAGTACCTCTATCTGGTCACTCCGCGAAAGAAGTGATTTTCAAGAAAAAATTGTCAATGTGCCCTCGGAACTCCCTCGAAACTGCTACCATCCAACCTTCCTTGCTTCTCTCAATGAAACAGACATCAATGCTCTAAGAATGAAGGAGGAAATTGATATTGAGGCTATAATCAAACAGGTTTCTACAGAATAATGTAAGTTTTCCAAAACCCGTCTACTTAATTACCAAGGCGGTCATCCCGAAGTAACTTCTTCACCATCTCAAATTCCAGGTTTCCACTCAATGGGACACTCAACCTAATAGGATTTGAAAAGTTAGTCTTTACATTAACATTGGTCTTGTGATGTGAATAAAGATAAGAGAGGTGATCACTCACATGGCAAGCTCTGCTTTCCTGCGTTTAATCTGAAAAATATGTCCTTCAATACTGTTTGTCACACAGTACCTCACCACGTGAACCTTCTCCTGTTGGCCAATTCTGTACAATCTATCAATCGCCTGTTCCTCCACTGCTGGATTCCAAGTTGGCTCCTAAGAATCCATAGGTTTCATTCTTCAGCCTTTGGGAAATTGTATTACCAAATTTTGCATTGGACTCACCATGATGTATACCTTTTGAGCACACCTCAGATCTATCCCAACTCCAGCTGTCTTTATTGTTGCCAAGAGTATTCTACACCGTCGATCCCCCCTGAAGCGTTCCAAATTCTTTCTTCGAGTCTCATTTTCCGTCTTTCCATAATGTGTTGTAAAACTAATACCCACCTCATTCAGAGCAACTTCAATTCTGAGACAACATTAATGCTTCTGTTAGTCAATTATATGAACCCCAGGCATATTCAGTTTACAGACTCACATTTCCAGAAACCTTTTGAACTCCGAAAAAATAACTGCACGGAATTGAGCACCGCTTGCCAGGAACAACTTCAGATCTTGCACCAAATGGACAATTTTTGAGCTTTCATTCCAGGAGTATTTTTTTGTGCCAATTCCTTTTTCAGTCAATGCTGGATGATTACACAGCTGTCTTAAATCCATAATATCGGCAAAGAAACTGCTTGAGTTCCAACCTTGTCCTCCCTTCCGATTCTTCCCAAATTGATCTGAAAATGCTTTGTGGTTTCTTTCGTATGTTTCATTCCACGGAGTTTTGAGCGCAAGGTTGATAATGGTTTCAATTTTCTCAGGGAGAGATAAGATAGTGGTTTTCAATCGCCTCATACTAATTCGGTTCATAATTGTTTGTAATGTTGAAATTCCACGGGGATCACACATCTCGACGGGGGATTCGATACAATTCTTCCAGATTGAATTTTCTGTCCATGGTTCAATTCTGATAAACTTTATTAAGCTGTGGAGATCTCCCAGTTGATTTTGCAAAGGAGTCCCAGTAAGGCATAATCGTCGTTCTGCTTCCAATCCAAGAATTACGCTGCTCCTATTTGTCCTTGGATCCTTCAGGTAACTGTACATACAATAATTTCAGTATTACAATTTTGATTATGGTTTAGGATTTTGGTTTACTTACTGTGCTTCATCAAGAACAATTCTAAACCATTTGATACTTGAAAAATCTAAACCCATTGTTCTGCCTTCAGTAGCGTTTCGACTTCCTTCCTGTTGACTACTTTTGATTTGTGTCACTACTGACTCGTATGTTGCCAGCACAACTGCGACTTGGGCAATATCTTTGAATTCGATTGTACATTTATCTCTACCGTAAAATGTTTTGAAAGGAAGGCTATCTCTTATGAAATGTATATTAATTTTGTTCTTCCAGTTCTCCAGGTTTGAAAGTGGGCAGATTATCAATGTGGCTGAGGTGGGCATCAAATATGGTACATTTGGTTCTTGACGGGAGAATTGTAAGGCTTCTTCACTTGATAGTTGGATGGCTGATAAAGTCGTCAAGGTCTTTCCTAGACCCACATCGTCCGCAAGAATACATCCTTTCGCATCAAATTTGACATCTCTTTTGAGATACCCTTTCTGAACAGCATCTTCAAAGACTATATGTAAACCCCCTCCCTCCTTTGTCAGGGTTTCACAAGATTAGAAGCTAGATGTCACAATATCTCTAGTCTTCCGTCTCAGTGCTTCCTTCCTGGCTCAGCAGAGAACTGATCCCTATTTCTCTCTGAGCCAGGTGATTTTCCTTTTCTATCCTCATTCTCTTTCTTTTGTGTTTCTTCCATTCAGATTGTACGGAGAGAACTGATCCCTATTTCTCTCTGAGCCAGTAATAAAAAACTATCTTGTTTGGTCTTAGAAATATCTGGCTTCTGCCCGTCCCTCGAGCCCCTTTTCCTCTTTATCCAGTGAAGGACTTCCAGTCCTTACACTTTTTTTTTCTCACACCAAACATCACCAACAACGCTCCGACACCAACTGTTCCGAACGACTTTTCGTAATTGGAACAAACTACATGTATATTATACCTTCCTCGATGAAACACCGCGTCTTGAAGTCCAATTTGAGATGAGTTGAAGGAGGGAGTGAGGATGACGGGCGTGATAAAAAAACCTAAGCAGGATATTGAAGACATTCCTGAATGATTGATCAGGTATTTGCTGGGGTTGATGTTAACAGAATTGATACTAGATTACTAAACGATACTAGTTGAGGTATGGTTATTGGGTGAGTTTGAGAAGATGGAGGAATGAGATTGTCAATATAGGATCCAAAACGACTAATCCACATGTGTGACGTAGACCATGCCCTGTCAGATATTAGGTGCTTGGAAGTTGCTTGTCCCATTATTTTCCAAACTTTGGGCCTTTTTGTTTGGTGATATCAACTCCTTGCACTGTTAATACTAAACTGATCCAAATCAAACATGTCCATATCCCCGCATCACAGGTTTCTCAGAAGTGTCCAAACTTTGTTTGAGCATACCTCACTTGATATCATTAACTGAGGTGAACTAGATTCATGTAAATATTTGCAATTATGTATGTATGCCTGTTTTGTTATATGGAATCGTTTTTTTTTCAAATTCTTGGGCATTTGGATGTGTGATGGATAGATACCTATTCCTCCCGAATTCATTTATAACAAACAAGGATTTCATGACAGGCAGCCATACAAAATTTTAAATAATACTCAAGATATTTGTAGGATATGTTAATTGAATCATCCAAGTCATTTTCAAAATTGAAAAAAATTAAACTTGGAGCTGAAATCATGTGAGGTTGTTGGTATATGTCAAAATTTCCAACCTAATAATTGAAATTCTGGGAGAGTACCAATTGAAAACAAAAAATTTACCTCATCAACTTTCCTTCAAGCATACTATTTTTTATTGGAAAAAAGAAATAATGAACGGTGCTGTCCTTGTGGGCTTGTAGCAATGAAATTGTACACCATGTCCAATAAGATATTGGAGTTTTGTCCCCTGTATTCTTCGGTCCCAAACCGAAGATGCATGTGGTAGCATCCTCGGTTTGGAACCGTATTTCAAGGTGAGCTGAGTGAGATGGATGAGCTCAACCATTTTTTTTTAAAAAAAATACAAGTACCTTCTTCCTCCAGCAACAAGGCTAAACTGGCTCATCGGACATCTCAGCTCTCATCAACTCCCCTCCCATCTCCCAGCACAGCTCAAATATCAACTGATTCATCTCACAAACTCAACCAGCTCAACCCAACTCCGAACCATCTCAAACAACTCTGACCCATCTCAAACAACTCTGAACCATCTCAAACAACTCCGAACCATCCCAAACAACTCTGAACCATCACAAACAACTCTGAACCATCTCAACCCAACTCCGACAAACCATCTCAAACAACTCCGAACCATCTCAAACAACTCAGAACCATCTCAACCCAACTCCCCCCCAACTGAAACAACTCCGAACCATCTCAAACAACTCCAAACCA